GCTAGCGCCCTCTATGAACTTTAACCAAAATGTGAACAGATTTCAATTCCTCTACTCAACGAACTCCAATCCCCAAAATTTTGTGAGGATATTTGCATTTGTTAAGGAATAAATTAAAAAAAAACTGAAATAATATTTTACATTTAACACCCTGTATCTCTTTAACTATCAACTTTTGGACTAAGGTAAGTTCGGCTAAATCGCAATATTTTTACTAGGGGAATCTACCCATGAATTTTGGCCCATTACGCTGCGACCATCCTGTATATATTTATATATATATTTTTTTAAAAACCTAACCCTGACGCGCGACGCCTATGACTAAAATCAAATTTGGTTATATCAGAATAATCGTTTTTTTATTTCGTGCTAAAACATGAAAATCGTTTTAATTTCATATAAGAGAGATATAAGGTGGCTCCATGTAATGTGAAACACAGAGTATAATTTTATACTATAACAATTATTATTCCTCCGACTTCTTGATTGTAAAGCTTACCATACACGAAGAGGTAAATATCACCCTCTAAACTGATTGAATTTTCACTTAATTATTTGTTTACGTAAAGAAATATTTTCTTTTTTGAAACATAATTTGTTAAACCCTGTATATCTACAGGGCGTCTTAGGGTGTTAAAATTAATAAAAAAAAAAATTATATTTTCAAATACCACAAAAACTACTTAGCTGATAAAACTATTCACATTTTTAATAATAAGCAAGGGGTTTTAATTTGGTGAAATTAGATTTAATTTAATTATTCCACTAGCAGCGTTGGAACATCATGACTAGATATTTTATAGAAAAGTTTGAGCACGCCTTTGCTTTTTTATAAACTTGATATTATTTAAATTGAGTAGGTAACTAAAAATACATTTTTTGTCTCTTGTATTTTTTGTGTATCTTGCTTATTTTTTGAGGAAAAAATCAAAATCTAACTTACAAAAAAAGCAGTGACTTGCTCAAAATTTTCCCTAAAATATCTAGTGATGAAATGACAGTTAAATCCAATTGCATCAATTAAAGCACTTTATTTATTTTTGAAAACAAGCCACGTTTCATCAAAATCGGTAAAATAGTTTTCGAGATATTTGAAAAAAATATATCATTAACTTTAACGTCCCGTATCTCGAAAACAAAGCTTTAAAACATGACCAGTTCATATAAAGTTTTCTTATTATTTTTGCGAGCTCCATCGTCTATTAAATTTTCCCGATTGAAACCTAAGCCACCTTGTATATGAAATCATGAATCATAACACGTTAATGGACTTCCCTGGAATTCTATCTACAGGTCTGCCACGGAATAACCGGGGTTACTGTTAACAGAAGTGGTCTTCGATGAATCGAAATGTGGAGGGGATGCAAACGTAGCTTATAAGCATATTATTTCCTTCAAAACCTGCAATAATTAAAAGTCATAATAGTTGATTGTATTTATCTAATTTCAAGAATGAAGTTTGTTGTGCTATTTAGTTTGTTATTTTTACTAGGTAAGTGTTGTTTTATTTAAAACAATTGATAATTATAATTATTACACTGTTAGATATTGCAATAGAATCATAGAATATAAGGGTGTTTATTAAGTACTTGTACAAACTTTAAAAGGTTAATCTTTGACTAATTTTACGATAAAAAGTTCTTATGAACATGGGTCCTCAACGGTTTGGTTCTTGAGATACAGGGCATCCAAAAAAATGTTTGTTTGGTATTTTAATTATATTTTTGTTCAATAACATGGCTATTTGACGAAATCTGGTATATTGATGGTGAAAACTCAAATATTTACTTAGTTTTTTGTTTAATGCTAAAGGGCGACACATACATTGTTTTACCTGGATTTAAATAACCACAACTTTTTTGTGCCGCGCTGTATGTTTGGCTAAACATACCTATTCTCCATTCAATTTTACGTACAAAAAGTACTCTTAGTATTTGTTGCTGAAAGCAGCCGTTTTGTAAAAAAAAAAACGGATTTGAAGTTAAACCTGCGTTGGAATTTTGTGAGTTGAATCATTAAGAGTGTTTGACAAACAAATCAAGAAGAGTCATCAGTCAATTAGTGAAAATTTGAACAAAAATATAATCAATTTTTTTTTTGTATCTCAAGAATCAAGCTAGTGCCGACACATGTTCATATGAACATTTTATCTTAAAATTAGTTAAAGATTTACCCTTTAAAGTTTGTACAAGTACTTCATAAACGTATACTTTTTTGTTTTGCAAAGCAAAATAATACTTTTATTGTCTTAAAATATAAGATAATTGTTATGTATTTCAATTTTCAGGTATAAGTCAAGCACAATTCAACGTCAGTGAAGAAAATGGTAAGTACTTACAGCATGTAAGAATTTTTAGAAATTTTCATTTGCCAAAAAGAATTACAAACATCTGAATGGCATCTTCTCTTTTTTTTTAGATGTCTAGGAACTTGTTCCGAATTCACTACATTTATTATAAGTTATAATTATCTTTTCATTATCGTTGTCGTCATCATGAATAACTGAAATTAATAATAATAATAAATCGTAAATATGAAAATGTAGCGACATAAAATCTTATTTATGGAATATTAAATAGTTATTTTATTCAGATCTGACACTACTGCAGTCTGATGGAAGTATTCAAAAAGATCAAGGAAAAAGAAGAGGTAAGTTCATTTAAATATCTGTTTCTTCTTAATTTACTATAATATATACAGTATGTCCACGGTTAGAGTGGCACAGAGGGAAGATATTTTTATTTTTCATTTTACGAGAAAAAGGCATTCTTGATTAAAATTTTTGCTGGCTCTAAAATGCGATTGACATGGAGAACTTTTATCTTGCATGTACAGGGTGATCAGAAAATCGGTAAATATAATAATCGTTCAAGAATAAATTACCTTTTACTCATAATTCAAATATAACATCAAAACATTATATTAAAAAAAAAAATTGTTGCAACGTAAGCATATTAAGAATAACTGTTACTATTACTCAAAAGCCCTATCACTTTTCATTATGACGGTTGTTGTCAAACTTTTTTATTCTCCATGCCAACCGCATTTTAAAGACAAGTAAATATTTTAATTAAAAATGCCTTTTTCTCATAAAATGAACAATAAAAATGTTTTACTGTCTGTTTCTATCAAAGTAGGCCGATTGATACACAAATTGAAATTATAATATAAATTTCAATTCTAAGTAACTTTTCTTAATAAGATATTTCTGTATTGTTAAAAATAAAGGCAGTTTTTTCTTGAACTATTTTTATATTTAGCGATTTTCTGACCACCCTGTACATGCAAGATGGAATCTCTCTATGCCAATCGCGTTTTAGAGAACAGCAAAAATTTTAATCAAGAATGCCTTTTTCTCGTTTCCATTCTACCCGTGGACATACTGTATAGATTAATAAAAAATTCCTTTTGTTCATCATTTTTACGTCTAGTTAATGTTCATGTTTAAACGAATGTAAAATTATTATTTTTCAAAAAATTATTCACCTTTTTAGTACTCAGGAGAGCCGTCAGAAATGCTTTCACTGCTTTGGGCCAAAAATATTCTGCTCGTCTGGAAAAAATAATTATCAACAATTGTGAAACCAATGGACAATACGAAATAGCGGAAAAATTGCAGGTAAGTCTAATCACCAAAAAATTGTTTCGTCAAATGAGATACAAAAAAATCGTCATTTATTATATTATCAAGCATACCTTACTGATACCCTCAAAACCCTTAAAAATTTGATCGAAGCGTCAAAAAATTTCAGTAGACTTACGGTTGTGTAGAGTGATTACAATTACTTACTAGTTTCATCAGTGTATTTTGATTTTTCCTTCTATTGTGTAACCAAGCAATTTCTGATCAACTGAAAACATGTTTTAGCCCTCTTTTGATGAGATGAAAGCATGTCTCAGTAAGAAGAGAATATTCAGAATACCCAGGGATGAATATTTGGCGCATATTGAGGCATGTAGGAGAGAGTCAATAAAACTATCTAAAAGTTGCCTATCAGAATCCCAACGTTATTTCCCGGATTTACAATTAGATATATCTAAATCTCTCACCAACGTCTTGTATGACGACTTCGACATTTTAAGTAGTAAGTGGGCATTCTTTGAAAAATATATAATCTTCCACGATTAAATCTTTTACGAATTATCCAAACAGTAGTTCTGATATGAATATATGTACATTGTTTTAGATGACATGGTCAAATGTTTGCCTAAACTGAAAAATAAAGATGTGCTAACTAATTATGCGCAATGTATAAAGGAAGTTGCCGCTGCTAGAGGCGATTCTAGTCAGATACCAGACACCAAGAAGAAATTTTGTCAGTAAGTATAACACTTATAAGTATTTTGATGTATTCAATAGTTTTAAAGGTTAAAAACAAGCCATTTACATATTACGTATTATAATAACATCCAATTTTAATTTTTCTACATATACATATGTATAATGTATTGTACCTGTAAGCTAATGTATACTATGTTTTAGGTCTTTCGTGCCACTTGCTAACTGTTTCACGAATATGATAAAAGATACCTGCGGCGACACACCTGGAATAACGAAGTTTGGAGACGATTATATCAAAGCTCACAAAGATGTGTGTGAAGAAAATGAAATCTAACTTGCCATTTTCAATCAATTTTTTGTAATCGTATTTACGTATCGAATAAAGTTTTTATAACGTAAAAACCAATAATATGTTTCTATAAACGTATTCATTGCTTCTTGGATACAAACATCGTCACTATAGAGTTGCCAACTGTTCTTTATTACTTTTAAGGACTTATTTGATAAAAAGCGGCATTTTTATAAAATAAAGTTAATTCTGAATTTGCTAGGGCAAAAATACAAAAAATTATATACCAAACAACATGAAACTCTGTTTTAATAAATGGCAAGAAACAGTATCTTATTTTTGCTTTATATTTGATTGGGTATTTCTGCGATATTTAAAACAAAAAAGTTAAGTAACCTCTTACGTGCTCTTGTGTCAAAAAAGATAGTTGAAAGGTTGATTTTATAAATTTAGTATAGCTTAGCCAGGAATATCCTGCACTGGTGAAGTAGTCAATAATTTTTCAAGTTAATAATCACTGTAACACAGTATACAGTATGTTTAATTATAAAGGCCCCAAGCTATATCTCGGTAACCCGTTTTTGGACACCCTATAAAGTATATATATTTTTAAATGGGAATGGATTATTTATTTAGTGACGCACATTTTTTTTTCGTCATACTGTGTAGATCATCTTTATTTTTTTTTTAAATGGGATCGTATAAATTTTTTTGCACGTACTGATTGATTTTTTTGTCTCTTTCCAACCGTATGAAATTTATATGCGTTTGCATAACGAAATTTTTTACGGTGCTCGCTTTCTAAATCACATAAAATAGAAGGCGCTGGAAAAACAATAATTTTGCATACTGTTATCTGTCACATATCGGTTTTGCTGCAAGTTTATCCTAATAGAATTTCCCCTAATAGAAGAAAGTTTGGTAAACTTGAAGCAAATCTAAGGGAGTATGGAACGCTAAAGAAGAAAAGAGTTTATTTGGGATATGCTTGCGATGAAAATCAAGAATTAGGTAGATTTACTACGAAGTATGCAAGAAAAATTCCATACGGGAATTAGCCAGGAATCATAATAATTTAACCGAGTACGTTGTATATAAAATTCTACATAAACTTAAATTGTTTCCATACAAGGTCAATTTGGTGCAACATCTTCATGAAAATTACTTTGAACAAAGAATACAGTTTTGTCGCTGGTAAAGCAAATAATAATCCCAACTTTCCAAAAATGATTTTATGGGCAGATGAAAGTCATATTTAACTGCAATTCATCATACCATTGGAGCCATGCCAAACCTAAAATTATAAGAGAAGGAGATTCTCAAAATCGATTTCATATTGTTTGGTGTAGTATGCTAGGTTAAAAAATATCAGGGCCATATTTCTTTGATGGTTCTTTAACTGGTGAACGGTATATACTTAACAGTTTTTTTGAGACATCAGTTACAAGAATATTTTGCAGAATTAACAGTTAGTGAATGAGTATGTCCATATTATTTTCCAACAAGACGGTGCACCTCCACATAATGCCCAAATAAACAAACATAAATTATTTGAATGCTATACTGGATTTGTACAAGAGGACCCATACATTGGCCACCACGATTCCCAGGCATTAATCCAATGGATTTCTTTCCCTGGGATTTCTTAAAAAACTATGTTTATTTAACACCACCAAATAACATTGATCAGTTGAAAGACAGAATTAGTACCGCAATAAATAATATTCCACATAACATTAAATGAAATAGAGTTTTATACTCAGAAATTCAAGTTCTTTTAGTAACGTTACTGCATTGAAATGTCTGTTTTACTCATTAGTTCGTTCTAAATTAGAATACTGCAGCCTTAAATGGTACCCTTACTACCAAATACATACTAACAAGCTTGAAAAAGTTCAACGTCGTTTTCTTAAATTTTTAAGCTTTCGAATTGATGGTTATTATCCAAATAGAGGATATGAACATAGGCTGCTGTAAGATCGATTCAAAATGCCGTCTTTACAGAATAGAAGAACACTCAATAGTTAAGATTCGAGTTCCTAGACATGGGTCTCGTGCTGATTGCATGTTCTATTGTGGGAATGTTAAAACCAACATACTTCTAAATCTCCCATCAATGTCATGGCAAATAATAATTATAATTTAATGCAGTGTGATATAAACCACTGTACCATAAATAATTTTTCTGTAGCAACTGAATTTTTTAATTTAATAAATTTTAACTGATATTGTAGAAACTAGAGCGTATTTTGTAGTCTATATATCTATTTGTATTTATTTAGAACTATGATTTTTTATATTTTTATTGTTTATACTTGAATGTAGGTATATACTTTTTTGTCCTGTAATTGGAACATTTGTTCTTTAGGGCAATAAATGCATTATTTATTTTAAAAATGTTAAGGTAATTTAAATCAATTTAATTTTTTTCTAAGGTTGGCGTTTTATAGACAAGAAAACGTATTTTTAGTAAGAAAACGATGGAAACATCCAAGAAGTGACGAACGCTAAACTATAGCAACTTCCTTTAATTTTTCTCAGATTTTCTTAGATGTTCTAATATTCTAAACAAAAAAACTGCGCGAATAAACGCCTCCCTTAACGTCTTTCTATATCAAAAATCTAGGTACAGATTTAACGATATTTAAAAGATATTTTAAGATATATTTAGGGGGAAAGAACTACTCTCTGGGTTACATGCTCCAATTAGAATAACCGTGGCTGCCTACTGAAATAATGTTCTCTTAAGATAAATGAAACTGTAGAGGGGATATGGCGTATGAACAAATTATTCCCATCAGAGCAGACAATTGTCAGTTATAGTAAGTGTACGAATTCATTTGTAAGCGTCCAGTTCCGAAAATGAATTTTATTGTGCTAGTTAATTTGTTGTTTTTATTAGGTAAGCGTCGATTCGTTCGAAATCATTTACATACGTAACTACCGTATATTACAATCCGGTACCTACACCGTATGATGCAATCTATTATGCAGCAAGTCAAGGTTTAAAGATTTCAAATTCATAAGAAAAATTTTATGATTTATTCACGCGAAGACGAACAATAATAATCATAAAAATCTTGCGCAATATTAAATAACTAAAACAATATTTATACAGGAAACTTCATTTCAAGATTCGCTCGTTTGATCACGATATTCATTTGTTTAATTATTTTTTCTAATAAGTAAATATGTAATAACAGAAAATTGTAGATTTATACTCGTAATAGTTGACTGCTGATGAAAATGAAAAATTATGAAGAAAGGTCGGTTATAAATTGCATCGTATAGATTTTTATGGAAAATATTTTTTTCAGGTCTAAGTCAAGCACAATTCCGAAGCAGTGAGGAGACTGGTAAATACTTGTAGCTTGTATATAGACTTGAAGATTACATTTATTAAAATAAATTCGGGATATTCCAGTACCTATAAGTAATTAAAATCAATAAAATAAATAAAAATTGCTATTATTAACCTCTTTATTCCATGAAGAACTGTCCTTTTTCGACGTTTAGTAAATTATATTAAAAGTTTCCAAATTTCTGCAGCAGTAGTTAAAGCAAAATTTTAATTGAAACTTATTAAACAGAATTTACTATATTAAAAAATTTTTCAATCTACTTAGATCCCGCAAGACCCCTACGGTCTGAAGAAAGTCCTCAACGCTATCAAAGAAAGGAGAAAGGTAAATTAAATTACATTTATACATTTTTCGTAATAAATTAGTTAGGTATTTTATATTTAAAAAAAACTCAGGTCGACAAAATTTTGAAACCAGACTATCCGTATTGCAAATCAATAGAAATTGATTATCACAGATTCAAAAAACGATATCTCGAAGATGAAATGAGATATTCGAACGATTCAAGATGACTGTTGAAGAAGTTAATAAAACTTTTATATGCCATAACAAATTTTGAAGGAAAATTACCTCGGGGTACAGAACCTCACACACAGCGAAAAACCGTGTTTTTCCGCAACTTTAGCTTAACACATCTTTAAAACTTGATGTGGTAGAGCAATGCTGAGGTCGAATTCGGATTCAGCACACCGAAAGGTCAATTACATTTTGCCGGCCTGTGTAATTCGCATCTTCCTCTTATTTCTAAGGGTACAAATATGATAGAGCACCACTCCACTCATAGACTAGGCGCTATCTGTTTTGGTTTGGGTTAGTCGTATATCCACGGAGATTTTTGGCTTTTTGGCTTTCAAATATTAAGTACTAAAAATTAAAATTTTTCTATGTGCATAAAAAAATGTGGGCCTAACTTTTGGCGGCACAATATGATAAAAAAATTCTAAAAATGTCATATTTTTCTTCCTATTTAATTATTTATCTTTTCAAGCGTTGCTTTTTGTGTTTCTAATGTTTCTAATTAATTTTTTTACAAAATATGACTAGTTACAAATCGAATGAATCACTATTATTATTGTAAAAATCGAAAAAAACGCCAAAAATGAGGTTAAAAAACATTACTTCTTAGGGAATTTTTTTGGGGTCTTTAAATTGGGTATAGCACCTTCATACTTGGCTCGAGAAAACTTCATGTTATGTAGAATCATCACACCAAATTTCATCAAAATCGGTTCGATAAATTTTGCATAATAATTTTGCAATCCAGATTTTGAAAAAATATTTGCAAAGTTTTAAAATTTTGCACAGCAAAACCAAGGCCCTTAAATACTTGAAAATTGAATCACATATAGAAGGGCTCTCAAACGCTTTTTGAAAAATTCGAATCCGTCAATTAGGAGAGCTCTGGCGCTTGTTTAAACATTGGTCGAATTTTTGTACTTATAAACAATTAGAATAACTGTGAATATAAATATGGACTTTTTGAAACAGATACCGTCTGGACTATCACGAGTATTAGTTTATTGGTTAATAAACTTTAAATTGGTGACATTTTCTTCGTGCAGCAGGATTCCAGCATATTTGTTCCCTTACTAACAAAAATTGTTAAACAAAACGCATATTATTGCTACCACCCATAAAATTATTATTTTCGCAAGTTATAATCAACAACCATCGCATTTTTAGTGCTCAAGAGAGTTGCGAGAAATGAATTTCGTAATTTGGCCCAAAAGTACGTACCTGCCCTGGAGAAAATAATTATTGATAATTGTAAAGCTAATGGACAATATGATGCAGCAGAAAAACTGCAGGTAGGTCTAATTAACAAATTTTTCAACCTGAAGAAGTAAATATAAAACAATTACATTCATTACATGAATCTAGAAATAGGGAAGTCAATCTTCATCAAATGATTTATAATAATATAACAATTCGGTTCTTCGATCCTTTTGAGATGCGCAGTGGTCAATAACTTTCTCTTAAATTGTTGAAACCGTTTATCTGCTTCAATAACAATTTTTCTGTACTGAGCATAGCCATAGCCTTTTTTATACATTTCTAAAAATGTCTTTATCCTTTTTAAATTTGAAAAACAACGCTCTCTTTCGACTATTATTATAAGGAGGATACAAGATATTTTTTCACAGTTTCAGAAAAAGTAATAAACAAGTTTTGTTAATTTGTCTTCACTGTTTTAAAAACAATTCCCTATTTTAAAATATTTTCAGTTAGTTTTAAGCAGTTTAAGACTATGAATATTCCATTTTAATTAATTACAAAATGCCTTCAGGAAAAGATTTTTTACGTTTTAAATCAATCTACGCGAAATAATGAATTTCTAATGAAATTTCATATTATGAATCTTCGATTTTACATTTACAAATGAATATGTAACGGAAAAAAACATCCATCTGATACTAGATAACTTTTATCATACTATACAGTAGAGTAATAAAGCCAGTGAACTTGATTGCTTTAAATGCTTAATACAAACATTACAAATAATACTTACAATAGTCATTTAATTTTATTGGATTCTCTAAAAAGGGACGAAATCTATGTAATTATTTTATACAAAAAAATTGTAGATATTTATGAAAATGTTTTACAGATATTTGCAGAATGTTTTGAAAACAATCCTCTATTATTTATAAAAGAACACGTTTCAACTAATACACTAATACAGTCTTGTATTTTTTCTGTTCTATTATCACCCTTGACAAAGACCGGCTATTTAGATATTGCGAGTGTAATTCAGTGCTGGTTGGGACATGCAGCCCTTAAATGCTTCCCGCAACATCGGCAGTTAGGTCTATGGGGTTATATATTTTTTTCTATACCTAGATTTCTGGTGTCAAAGAACATTGTTTGACTTCATTTGATTTTTTCGAAACAATTTTTGAATTTGTTTGAATTAGCTTAACATAGTTAAAATAGAGTAAAAGCGCAGATAGGATGTAGGTTTTTTTAAAAAGGGATCCTCCCCTATTGCCGATGTTTTTAACAGTTAAGCAATTTTTTGGTGAATCTAAACATATTTCAGCCCACTTTTGAAGAAATGAAGACGTGCTTGAGCAAAAAGAAATTGTTGGTAACTCCCAGAGAAGAATTATTGGCTTTAATTGAGGAATGCATTGTAGAACCAGTAAAACAATCTAAAAATTGTCTAGCAGAGACCCAACGCTATTACCCACAATTACTATCTGAATTGGCCAAATCTCTCACCAACTTTTTGTATGATGATTACGACATTATTCGTGGTAAGCAGTCTTTAAATGATAACATTGAAATGTTATTATAATTATTTTAAAAGATATACAGTACGACAAAAAATAAGAATGTTTTGTCTTATGAACTATATGTCTATCTCCTCTTGTTTTCGAGATACAGAGCGACAAAATAAAATTTTTTAAATAGAATTTTTACGAAAATTTCCAAGCAGTGCGAAATATTTTTATGAAATTTGATATTCCGGGGTTTTTAAGGACGCCAAATACGCTGGTCTAATTAATTTTTGGATATTTTATAGAGGGCGCTAGTATTACATTTTAAGTTATAATTTTTTTGAGGTTAGTTTTTTTAGCATTTGGGCTCCAATTTCTAATGTACAATTTTATTTTCTAAAAATAATGTACTCTTGTTAGAACTTCCTAATGTGTTCCCAAAATTTTAGTGACTGTAATTAGTCATTACTAACTACAGTCACTAACAATCACTAAAATTTTGATATAAAGTTAATTAGAGTTTTAAATATTACTGAGAATGTATGCGTTGTTTATGAGACATCCATCAATAAGTTTTGACATAAGCCTACTTTGAGAAAAGTCACTTATTTTCTTCACCGTAATATTGTAAGAGTTCAATTAAAAACCTTTTTTCTGGAAAACCGTCCACATTAGGAAGTTCTAACAAGAGTACATTATTTTTATAAAATAAACTTGTACATTAGGAGCCCGAATGGTAAAAAAACTTAACCTTAAAAAAATTAGAACCTAACCTCTACGAAATATCCAAAAAATAATTAGACCAGCGTATTTGGTGTCCCTAAAAACCCCGGAATACCAAATTTCATAAAAATATTTCGCACCGTTTGGAAATTTTCGTAACAATTCTATTTAAAAATTTTTATTTTGTCGCTGTGTATCTCGAAAACAAGAGGAGATAGACATATAGTTCATAAGACAAAAAATTCTTATTTTTTATAGTACTATCACCCCCTGAATTTACGGGAGGTCTTTCTGAAACACCCTGTATAATGGTTATAATATCAATACAATTTTTTTTTAAGTTGACCTGATTGCTTGTTTCCCTAAACTGAATAACGTAAAAGTGGCAACTAGCTACGAACAATGTCTAAGGGAAGTTGCTATTCGTACCCATGACTCACGTGAAATACCACATACGAAGACAGAATTTTGTCAGTAAGTATTGGCAACAGAACTCTTCATTTAATAGTTTCCGTAGCTTTATCATATTTCGATTATTCTAAATATGTACAAGTGTCATAATACAACTTGTTCTAGGGTTTTTGTGCCTACCGCTTACTGTTTCACGAATATGGTAAAGGAGAACTGCAACAGGACACAAGGACTTGCCAAATTTAGAGAGGATTATGTGAAACTTCACAAAAATATTTGCGAGGAAAAATAAATGTAACATGCCATTTGAACAATATTTTGTAGTCATATACACTTCTAATAAAAGTTTTATACTAATAAAAACTAACTTATTTACATTAAATGATGATCTATTTTCTTGAAACTTGAAAATGTTTTAGGCACAAGTTTTTTTGGTCAGATATTTAAACTGCGAATAATTTCACACGTGCTATAATTCACTATCTGTTTTTCAATGTGAAGTCAGATATTCGGCTCAGAGTATTTCAAAAATTTAACTATTCATAAATATATTAATATCCAATTTTCCACTGCTTGTTATTCGAAACACACCCAGTGTGATAATAAGTTCATAACCTCTGATAAAGCCCGGTCACAACACTATATTAATATGACCTCTCTGTAAGTTTAGACTCGAATTAGTCTTAGTTCCTAAGCCGACAAAACACGGGCTCTGTTGCAAATCATATTTTTTTTAGTTTAAAATGAAGTGCTGTGTTTTCGGTGTAATATTACTAATTGGTAAGTAATACAACCAATTTTATATCAGCAATAGATTTTAATAAATGAAATTACACAAACAACACTCACAAATTGTTTTTATTTTAAAAATAATATATGGTATATTTTGTGCAGAAACAATCATCTATGGAACCAATAGGTATTACAATTTACTGATATATACTAAATAAATGTAGACCAAAGGACCATTCAAATAAAAAATTACTGATGATAGTTACAAATTATTTTTGAAGAAAAATATTTGATTTGATAAATATACAGCGTATATTCAAGATTTTTTATAAAATAAAAAAGTGGTTTTCTGAAAAAACGCTTCTATAAAAGTCGCAGCAAGTTACGAAATACAAACTGGATCATCGTAATTGGTCTAACAATTACAAGAAGTCTTATTTTCTTAATAAAAAACCTTCTTTTCGTTTTTTAATATTATCTCGCTTGTTGTTAGAGATGAACCCAACAAACCCTACATGACTATGCTCGACAGGGAACGTTCTATCCAATTATGTAAAAACATACAGGGTGTTCCATTTAGCTTAACAAAGTTAACATCCGCGGCCATTTTATTTAGACTTCATTTGTTTTTCTACTATCATTTTCTAAAAATTCATAAAAAATAGTGCAACTTTTATATTTCACATTTTTTTATAACTCTTAAAACAAAAAAGTTAAAGGGGGTCAAAATATAGTGAATCACCCTGTACAGGGTGTTTGAAAAAGTTGGTACAAAATATAAGGGGGTGAAAGTAGAGCCGAAAATAGGAAAAAAAGTTCCTATAAACATTGGTCCTCCGGAGCACCGTTACTGAGATACGGCCTTCCAAAGAGGTCTTATCATTTAGATATTTTTTAAAATAATTTTCTTTCTGAATAAGATAACGGAATGAGAATTGTAGATAATAATTATACTATAAGTTTCATCAAAATCGGTTATAAATAAAGATAGTTTTCTAACTACTAACAGAAATTTTTCGATTTTTTTTTTATTCCTTTGAATTATCAAGCAAATAATATTATTTTTTTATGAATTCGACTTTTTTGAAGAAAAAAATTTGCCTACTTTTTTTTCAAATTCTGCGTAGTTTAGTAAGAAATTATTATTTTTTAAATAATGTTTGGCTCAAAATAGTAACCTTTTTTAACATTTTCGCATAGTAGGCGTCATTTATAGTGACAGTACGTGAAAATGTTTAAAAAAGTTACTGTTCTGAGCCTTACATTATTTAAAAAATAATTATTTCTGACTAAACTACGCAGAAGTCCAAAAAAAAGGTAGATACATTTTTTCTTCAAAAAAGTCCAACTCATTTAAAAATAATATTATTTGCTCGATAATTCAAAGGAATAAAAAAAAATCGAAAAATTTCTGTAGAGTAGTTACAAAACTATCCTCATTTATAACCGATTTTGATGAAACGTATAGTAGTTAAAAACCATTTTGGCTTGATTATTACCTACAATTTTCATTTCGTTATCTGAATCAAAAAGAAAGTTATTTTGAAAAATATCCAAATGATAAGACCCCTTTGAAGGACCATTGTTTATAGGAACTTTTTTTACTATTTTCGGCTCTACTTTCACCCCCTTAAATTTTGTACCAACTTTTCCAAACACCCTGTATATCTAGTACACCACTACATATAACAAAATTCATTCGAGTTATAGAGAAATATCCTCGTTTATAATGGGCCATACTGTACATATTTTTTTAGGATTCAGCTTGGTTTTTTGAATTATTATTTACATTCTAGTTTTTCAATAATGACAGTAAATAACTGATAAGTTGAGATATCAACCGTTTCTTCGTATTCAGCAGAAACATTTATCAACAATAAACAACTTACTCATGTAATTTGAAGGCAATAGATCTCAATATAATAAGTTTATTAATTACAACGCAAGCAAAAATATGCAGTAAAGAACAACAATATTTATCTTTTCTCAAAAAACTTTGTCAAATTAATACAATAACAATATGTAAATAACAGATAACTCATTTTTATAATAATTGCCAACAATTGCAAGTACATCATAGAAAAAAAAATATTTTCAAAAGTAGGTACCACTATAATCAATAACGGTTTTTTATTAAATGAAAATAATTTCAAGTAAATTTATGAAAGACATAATTTTGTAGGTACGTACCAAAAATATACTAACTATGGGTAGTTGCACCAAGGGTATTTGACGGAAGTTTAAGACTAAACGTAGATTAAAATAGAAATTTTTGTTGCACTAATTCTTAAACTTGAGTCAATTATTTTTAATCTCAGATTAACTTAAACCACCAGCTTTGGAGGTTTTAGTGGAAGTTTAGTTAACCAAATAATTAAAACAGAATAAATGTCCATACCATAAAAAACTTAACAAAAGGTCCAGTTCGTAGGATTTGATATTTTGAGTGCTAGATTCTGAAGTGTGTGGATTAAAATGGATTTTATTGATTTAAATGTAGAATATGAAGACATATTTGACGATGATTTAGAAATAATAGAAAGAGACATGGGTCGAATAAATAATCATGGAGCATTACTAAACATACAAGCAGATGCACAAAGAGTTCAGAATGACATTGTAACTAATTATTTGGGTAATATTTAAGGATCAAATAATAGCTGCTTCCCTTTTGCAAGCAACTGAGTATGAATTACATGTAATGTGTTATGTGAGTTTTATAAAGTTCTCTTCTTTCGAATGCAATTGACTTTCTCAACAGTT